AAATGAACCAAAATAGCATCATAGTAATTTTTAAAATGTTATTTTTTTCCATAATGAAATAAATTTTTGTAATTACCCAATTAAATCAGTAAATATGAAAAACTTTTTCCACAACACAGATGACAGTTGTTCAGGTGTACGAAGTGTATGCATTACACATAAAAATACTTTCAAGTACTGTCTCAGAAAAAATATATTTTAATGTTATCAGTCTTCAGTTGGTATTGGGACATGTTATCTATCTATTTCTATATCTATATATATCTCTAAAATTATCATTTAGGTGGATGGGGATGTCAAAGTGTCCAAATTCAGTTCATAAGAACAGAAAATCTCTACCATATAGGAAATCTGTTAATATGGTAAAATATAAATAAGGATTTTTTCCTTTCTTAATTCTGTGATGTCCCCAAACAAATTACAGCTTACCTCTGCCTTGTAATAGGGCCTGTTCCAAAGACCTTTGAAGTTTCCAATTGACTCAACAGGCTTTGGATCTGGCCCTAAAGTAGTAAAACATTTGAGGAATGTTTATAGATAACCACTTAGTGCTGGCTTAAGGAAAGCAAAAGGAAATAAATTAAATGCATCTTCCAGTGACATAAGTCTCATGAAGAATTAACCAGGATAAGCACTTATTCTAGTTGGTGCACTGTCAATCTGAACAATGCAGACAAAAATAATAATTAAAACATAGCTTCATGCTGAGATGAAACTTCCAAGAGTGTCTACTGTGTTAAGCTTATGATTTTTCTGGTTTTGTATTTGCAAGCATAATTATGTCCCAGAGGCAACAGGAGCTAGTGCTTGTCAGTCCCCATTTACCCTCTGATAGGAGATTAATTTCTTTACACAGAAATCCGAAAGTTGATGTCAGAGCAATAATAATAGTATAAACAAGTATTTTATTCTTTTAATCTGGAATGCATAATTTTATGGCATAGTTGTATAAATAATGAAAATATCACATCTACTTTCGACAATTAACGGTAAACTGAAGGTAACATTTAATGTAGTATTGATTGACCATACTAACAAAATGACGGCAGGCATCTGTATGGATGACAGCAGTTAGGAAAATGCTACCAAGTCTATCAATACAGATTAAGCAGGGGTGGGATGGAGCAGACTTGATGGCTCAGAGTCCTGCTAATGGAATGTGGAGCCTTTCACCTCCAGCACACTGACTTGAGCCAGCCTAGGTCAGTCTGTCACTGAAAGTCATTACCATCAGATGGTTCAGTGAAATGAGTTTGTCCTAATGGCAGGCTGTCTGTGTCACAAAATACACCATCTATCATGACTGACAGCACATTGAAATTTTCAGCTGGAAGGCTGGAAGGAAAGAGGATGGGCTCCACATTCCTTCTATCTCTGTTGGAAGCATGGGTAAGGACAGTTATCTGGGGCTTTAGAAATCTTGAGGTTTTAAAAACGTTTGATTTTAGGGACAGTGGTGCCAACCACTAACCTGACATAGAGTGAGAAGAAAGTACTTGAAGAAATTGCAACTGAAATGTAAGACAAGACATGAACTAACAGGCAGAAATAGTAAATATGGGAGAAGCATGATAGGAGTCGGCTCAGCACACTAGCAGCATGAAGTTACAGTAGCTATCCTGCTGTAGGTCTCTTTTGGATGGATTTGAGAGTAAGTGTGACATGGGGAAAGCAAAATAGGATTGTTTAAAAAAAAAGTGCAGTGAAAGCCAGAATTCTTCGTTAGTCAGAGGTGAGAAGTAAATATAAAAGCTAAGTGAAAACATTACAGGATAGGGCTAAAGGATTTCAAAATGAAGGTAAAGTGTGTACAGAGCAAGTGAAGAGATGGGAAACACTGGTTAGATGCAAAATGAGGAATTACATGGATAAAGGGATGAACTAAGATGATTATTTCTTTCAGCAACAATTCTGGTTAGATTTGAGAAGAGCAAGACTGTATCTGTCAAAGCCACCAGAAATTACATTGTTAGGAAGTGACAGGAGCATAAAGAGAGTTTTAACTTTGTTGTTAGATGGGGAATATTGTACCTTTTAGAAGTTCTGGAGTAAGGTATTCCCTGAAAGATTTAATGATAGCCTGAATAGTAGTCCTAATCTAATAGCTGTTTTATTGGCAACATTCAGGCTACAGTTCTGGATGAGAGAAGGGGAAAAACTCTTACTCAGTGATGAAAAAATTAATAGAACAAAAATAATTAAGAACATTCCTTCACATCTTTGGGCTTAACATGGTGGTTAGACATACATAAGAAGACATCAGGTTAGAAAATAGACAAGTTGTTGCATTTTGGGGAGATAGTTTTCTCTATATTACTTTAAGCCGTGTTGTCAACTTGGAACGAAGATGTTGAGCAACACTTTCCAACCTTTTGTCTAAAATTAACTAAACTCTAAAACCTCGGGAACCGATTCTCAGAGCTTTGCAAAAGATAAATAAAGAAGCCTGCTTTCAGTGGCTGTAACTGAACTTCTATTAAAAAAACCTGACAAATCATAAACTTGAAAACTACTGCACAGGAGAACAAAAAGGGACAGATTCGTGTGAAATTGTCAGAGTATTCTGACATTGTGAAGGAATGAAAAATAGGAGAAAAACCAGGGAGTCACTGCAAACAATACCTGATACATTTTCTTCAAAATTTTTGAGAGATAAAACCATGTAAGTTGAAACTACTTTTAGAGTTTTAAATTCATCTGCTCAAGGGATATGACACAAATTGATGGGTGTAGCAAGATCAATAAAAATTACTCTCTGATTGACATACACTTCAGTTACAGTTACATAATAGTAATGGCATCCCTCCTGTATTTATACCTGTAAGAGCGATTTAAAATATTTCAGGACACATATACTTCACCCAGGCTGCTTCTTATTCCACCAAAAGAAGCAAGTCTATCTGTAGTACTTTGTATCATCTAAATGTAAACTGCCCTTCTGAACAGTGGCGAATGCCTTCTCTGCAGAAGAAACCTCATAATGGGAAACGTTTTTCCCATAAAATGAAGATTAAGAATGAAGAACTGAAACACTGAAACTAAAAATGGAGAAAACTTCTCAGGAATCCTTTTCATGAAACTGTAATTCCTTATGACTTTATGGATTCAGTGTTGAGGCTGCTGGGCATACACAGGTTTATAGAAGAATAACTCGGTGGTGAAATGAATATTGTGATTAGGTGAAATTGTGTCCAGTTTTGGTTACCACAATACAGGAAAGATATTAAGTTATTAGAGAGTGTTCAAAGGAGGGCAATGAAGACAGTGAAGAGCCTTGAGGAGAAGCCATACGAGGAATGTCTGAGGTCAGTTGGTCTGTTCAGCCTGGAGGAGACTGAGAGGACACCTTGTCGCAGTCTACAACTTCCTTGTGAGGGAAAGAGGAGGGGCAGGCACTGATCTCTTTTTTGTGGTGACCAGTGACAGGACGCAAGGGAATGGCCTGAAGTTGTGTCAGGGAAAGTTTAGGTTGGATGTTAGAAAAAGGTTCTTTCCGCAGAGGGTGGTTCGACACTGAACAGGCTCCCCAGGGAAGTGGTCACAGCACCAAGGCTGACAGAGTTCAAGAAGCGTTTGGACAATGCTCTCAGGAACATGGTGTGACTCTTGGGGATGGTCCTGTGCAGGGCCAGGAATTGGGCTTCATGATCCTTGTGGGTCTTTTCCAACTTGGCATATTCTGTGATTCTGTGAAACTCAGTGAAACCGAACTAGAATCAGAAGTACTTTGCTACTAGGACTCACACAAACTCTTCAGCAGTGGTTCAGATAATGCAAAAGCATGTAACTGAAAACACGGATTCTGATATTTCTTCATATTTATTTACTTTGGTTCTGATTGCACAGTCAAAATTCATGTATACCAGCTATTTGAATGTGATTGCTGTTTTGCACATAATGCTATCTTCAAATATCCATGAGCATAATCATTATTTGGGTTTAATTGAATCATAATAAAACAATCAGAAAATCAAAAGAAACTCCTAAAATATTTTACAAGTATATGATTCCTGGCTTACCATTAGGAGTATGAATTAAATAAATTATTGTTCAAAATTCTGAACACAAAGTTAGAAAAATCAGAGGAGGCGCTCACAGTGGTTGTGACAACACCAGTCCCAGAGAGGAAAAGACTGCTTGGGAATAAAATGTAAGGTTGTGTTCAGTGAGCCACCATGTTCAAAGCAGCTAAACACCCTTAGTGTGAAATTTCTTGGCAAAAAAAAGAGTACAATTTTGTGTCTCATCACCTCAAAATCAGGACACGCTATCTTTCTAGGAAAGCTGTATCATTTGAGCTATTTATTAAGCTTGCTACAGAAATGACTCGAGAAAACTGTGGTTTGGTATGCGTGCCAGACACAAACTGAGTAATCAACTTTTCTGTAGGCTCGCTCTCCACTCTGTATGCGTGTCACCTAGGAAGATGAGAAAGTTCAGCTGGGTACAGCTTTCACTTCCGAACTTGCAGAGGTAAACAAATGCAAATATTTCTTTTTCGTGTATCCTTCCTTACAGGGGAGTGTTACGCTTGGTTATCAAGTGCCATTTTGCAGGAACCAAAGCATGCACTAGCAATACTAATCAGTAAACTGTTCCAAGAGTCAGTGGCTTGCTTCTTGCACCGAAGTAAAGCAATTATCTGTTGCAGAGGACCTGGTATCATCTCAAGGTGGCTAAAAAACTACCTGACAGGTTTCGTAATCTGCCATGTGTTATGTTTTTATCACCTTAAATGTAAGTTCCCCCTGAAGTGGGCTTGCGATGGTGATGATCGGGGGCTGAAACTAGATGATCTCTACAGTCCCTTCCAATCCAAACCATTCTGTGATGTTAAGGTGTCTAATTGCTTTTCACTCTACATGTCTGGAGCAACAATTCGGTCCCAAGAAGGAAATAGCAGGGACCCCTCCCGCCGCCGAAGGTGCCGCGATGCCGGGACCGGGGCCGGGGCCGAGCACGGCGGGCGGGACCGGGAGGCGGGGACGCTCGGGCAGGAGGCGGCAGGAGCCCCGCTAGCACAGGAAGTCGCGCCGCCGAGAGAGGAGGGAGGAGAAAGGAGGCGGAGCTGTGCCGCTCGGCCCGAGGTACCGCGCCGCGTCCCGGGCAGGCCGAGGGGCCGCGGGGTCCGGGGGGCCCTCACGGCGCCCGCCCCTCCCGCCCGGCGGGGGCGCCGCCATTGGCCCCGCGCACGGAGCGCCCGCCAGCGCGGCCGGCGCGCGGCCCGCCGCGGGGCTGCGCGGCCATTGGCCCGCGGGAAGCGCTCCCCGCCGCGATTGGCCGGAGCGCGCTGCCAATCAGGGCGGCCCCGCCCCCGGAGCGCGGGCTGAGGGGCCGGGGCGGGGGCGCGGCGGGGCCGTCCTGGGCGGGGGCGGCAGAAGCGGCAGCGCTGTCCTGTGCTGTCGTGTGGTGTCCTGGGGCCGGGGTTCTGCCCCATCCGCACCGAGCCTCCTCGGCTGCATGGGCTGCTTTCCCCGTGCCAGCGAGTGGGGTCGCGCTGGGTCCCTCACCAGGCTACCAGACTGGAGGGAAACAAAGCCCTCGCCAGGGCCCCTCGCCGGGGCCGTTGCAGGCCTGGCCCGGGCCCGCCGCTCCGGCCGAGCTGGCGGAAGCCCGCGATGCTTCCATGTGGGAGTAGCTCGTGGTTTTCCCTCGAGAGCGCGACTCCTCCCGTGCTGGCGGCCAGTGCGGTGTGGCTGGTGTGAAGCCCCGCCTGGAGGGGTGTCGCGGTGTCTGGATCTCGGCAGTCCGTCGCTCTGTGTGTGCTGACCCCACACGCTCAGGGAGACCGGGACGTGCCGGAGCCGCAGCACGTGCGGTGTGTGGCGGTGCTGGGTGTGTTTGGCCGGCTCTGGGTGTGCAGTAAATCTGATTCAGCCCGGAGTTGTTGAGCTGGCTGTGTTTGTCTTCCAGGCGTGAAGCGTTCCGGGTACATTGGGCTCCTTTGTATTTTCTGCAGAATGCGCTGGTCATGGTTGCGCTCAGAAAATCCTGGACGGAATTATGTGAGAATATGTGAGCTGCAAAACTTCTGAATGTGAGGTGTTGGCAGGGGATTCTGCCACCGTGTTTGTGCGGCTCGCAAGCTGCTCCACCTTCCATCAGCCTACACAGTTAGGAGGACAGAGCACAGCAGTACCAGAAAGCCTCTTTGAAAGCCCTTATGTTGTAACTGGGCTGTTTATACAGCACACATGTTCACACTCAGTAATTCAATTACGTGTCTTACAGGTTTCGAGTTCTACCCTGTTGGGGACCAGGCTCGTTCCTAGAGAGCTAATCAGAATGAAAGAGTACCTGTTACTAAAGATATATAGACTTTCATCCAGCCTTTGCTACTGATATGTGACTTCTATGGTAGAAAACTGTATAAAGTGATGTTTAAGGGATACACAAAATTCTACAAGTATGGGGAAAATTGAACCATTTCTTAAGTATTGCTGTTTGGCTTGTCATCCTTGGCTGAATCACTTCACCCTGAATCACAAAACAGGCTAGGGACAGACTTCATTGTTCAGAAGGTAGTTTGTCTGTTCATGAAAGGAAAAATTTGGCAGTTTTTTTTTGTTGGAATGATCATCTTTGATCATGACTTCGTACTGTTTACCTTGTGGGACTTTTCTGTCTTCGTGGAAGCAGTGAAGACATAATCCTACTTCAAGTCAGTTCTGTAAGTGTGAGCATAGAGAAAACAAAGTGTTAACTTTGAAATAAATTAATACAAACAGTTGACACTTTAAAAAAAAGGTGAGTTGCTCACTTTTTTTGTTATTTTTCCTTCAATATGTAAATCCCTTTTGTAATTTATTTTCTAATTTGTAATTCTGTAATTTATGTATAGTCCTCTAGCTAAACCTGTTTGAGCAGGGATAGATGAGCACAAGTAGATGGCTTCAAGAGGTTTTTTTCAACATCAGCAATCCTGTAATTCTGTGAATTTGATTTATTAATGTAGCCAAGTAGAGATTACAACAAGGTTCTGCAATTGACTTCATAGTCTGCTTAAAGTAGTTTTTGTATCTGCAAAAACAATACAGAAAATACTCAGTTACTGTTTCAACACAGATGTGGGAGCTCTTCAAATTCCTAGGTTTTGAAAGATTACTTCAAATCAAATCTAAAGCAGAGATTCCTGTTAACATTGGTAAAACTCCCCCTATAATTAGCTTTAAATCTTGTATCAAATTACATACAAAGATGTATATGTCTTTCTGTTAAGTCACATAAAAACAAGACTATTTCAGATGAGCAGCTGAGTTCCAGAGTTTAATTACTGCATTACGTTGAGTGACCATGGTTTTTCTATACATCTTTCCTTAAGAACATACTTTAGCAGAAGGTGATATGCAAGGAGGTGTACATACTTTCTTTATAAAATTAGGAGTAAAGGCATTGATTTTATTACTGGGGCTTTTTTGATTGTTTGTTCTTTTTTTTTCATAAACTTGAATGATACAGTGTCTTAGGTTGGACTTGGCTCCTAGCCAAGTGCCTGGACCTCAGGGACAAAACCTTCCCCCTTCTTCTTGCTCTCTTCCAGCTGACCGAAAAGATCACGAAAAAGAAATCAAAAGAACTCAAACTGAATTAAATTTCAAGTGGAAGATTTATATATATAAAGAAAATTATATACACTATTACACTCACAGGGAACCCTCCGAAAGGGAAAAGGGAAGGGAAAGGGAAAAGGGGAAAAGGGATACAAAGCAAATACTTCCCTGAAGAGACACAGTGAACTGCACCACACAACCGCCAGCACTGTCTGCCTCTTAAGGCCAACCAGATGCGCTAGGCCTCACTCCCTCGCCCGGGCAGAGCGACAGCAAAGCTGCCTTCACCTTCGGTCCGCCGGAAGAAAAAGAGAGCGAGAGCTTCCTCTCTCTTCTTATTTATACTCTTGCTTACGTAAAAATCGTATGGAATACTGGGAACATGGCCTTGGTTCCTTGGTTACAACCTGGTCACCAAGGAAGGCCTAGACTCAAAACCACTACACATACAGAATAAGTTTATATGGATTTGAAGATTCCACACTGACTTCTGCCTGTCCTGTGACTTCATAGCTCTCGCTGTTACACTCTGCAGCCTTTTCAGAGATGGAAGCCAGTTTATGTGCCAGTTTTGTAGCAGGTACGGAAAAATCCTCCCTGTTGGTCACAAGTACAGAATGGAGACTAGTCACGTAAGCTAATCTGGCAACCTATGGTACTGCCCAGGGTATCTTTAGGGTTTACTTAATTCAAATATTTTGGCCAAATCCCACAGCCCAGTCTAAAGGGCAACTTAAGCTCAGTGTACTTTATTGCAGCAGCTCCAGGAAACCTCCAGTTTTAGTAGATGCTACATAGAAAACAAGACAAGGCTTTTTTATTTCTTGCAGTGCAGTGAAGATATTTTCCTTGAATTTTTCTGTGAAATGTGTTTCTTGAGACCATGAATTAATTTTGGTTAGATAACTTTAAATGTCTTTAAAAATTAATACCATCAAGATTAGTTACAGTTAATTGCAGTTAGATTTTTAGAGTTTCTGTAAGATTCTTCTCATAACTATGAAGTTACTTTGTGAATTTTTTTCCTTTGCAATATTTCCATAATAATCTAAATTTTTTATTAGGTAAGACAAGCTGTGAATTATAGGTGAGGATAGGATACTTTGGAAAGTCTTTATATGTTGCTAAAGTGTTCTAATGTTACAAAATTAGGTTACTTGTTAAAAAACCCTAAACCAGTTTAATATTATCTTGAAGAACTGAGCCACCGTATTAAGTACTTACGAAGAATAAGTGAATGTTATGAAGAATAAGTGATTGTGTTTGCACATTATGAGATACATAGAGAGACTGCAACATAGATGGTTGTAAGGTGTAAACAAAGAAGCCAATGATTTCCATTTGCAGTAGAAGTCTACCTCAACCCTCTGACTCTCATACAATACTACTGTTGTAATGCGGTTACTCCTGAGGAACAGGACTACGAACGTCAATGTTTTCCGACACAAACTCTGCTTTAAATTTTTCTGCTCTTCTGGATTTTTTCATTTGCTTGCAGGTTTACTTTTGATTGAGGAAAAAATGTGGAGAGATTTATGGAATAAATACTAGCTGTCATTTTTTTAAAATAAAAAATGAAGCGTATTTCAGTGAATAGCTATCCTCATTTCAGATGAAGTCTGCAATGATTAAATATTAAAATGATCCATGGTTCAAATTAATATAAAAACTTTTCAGGACATTATTACAAAGATTAACGTTTTTAATGTTTTAATACTTACATAGTTTATCAATCACAGACACCGTGAAACTGTTTTTAGTTGTGAAGCTGATGATGCCATATATTATTGCAGTATTATGTACAACATATGTATCTTACAGTTCTTTAATAACCAGTTTTATTCTTTAAGTATTTTTTGACACACAAAATAAGCAGTAACAATTTTTTCCCTTTTGAAAAGAAGGTAAAAAGAAAGGGTATTTCCGTAAAACCTGTGGTGTTTGCCATTGAGGAAGGAACTCTGTTTCATGTAATGACAAACATAGATGGTCACTGGTACAGCAACAGAAGAAGAAGAAGTTCTTGCTTATGTTTTCAAATAGGAGTTGAATTAATGCAGCTTTAGTATCCCCAAATTATCTGCAACAGCCTATGATTCCTGATACATTTTTATTTTTTAGAATTATGTTTGAAGGTCGCGGGAAAATGTCAAAGCATCCCAGGTGCTTTTGTATCACTAGCTGCGCAAAGACACTCCTGTAGTTCACTGGGTTGAGTAAACAGGCATTTTTGACATGGACAGTGCTAATTCCTTTGTTTCTCATTTCTTTTCAATTTTTTTTAACCACAGGACTGAAAATCAGCAGTAGTGATTTTTAAGTTTTATTCTGCCTCTCTAACCACACACTGCAGTGATACAATGGATACAATATTACAATACAAAATACAATTACACAATGCAGTTCATTGTGTCCCAGGACTTTTTGCAGTTTTAAATATGATAATTCATACAACAAAATATTGCTTATTCATTTGTTGTGATTGTTCTTGTCATCGTCCTTCACTCAGTATGTTTTGCCATCAAAAACAAGGCAGA